GGAGCTGGTCTAACTATAAGAGTTAGGACTTATTAAGTAGTTCTTCTTATTTAATTCCTTAATAATCTTAAGAGGCAAATATCATTATTATCTACATTTTACAGGTGATAAAATTAAAGCTTAGAGAGGTTGAGTAACTTGCCTACATCCCACAGTCTGTAAATGGCGGAACAGGATCTGAACTTAGGAAGTTGGAAAAAAGATGCTCTTAGCTTCTTATTCTGCGATAGAGCTCATCTAATACCATTTTGTTATGTTTACATGCGGGAAGTTGTGGCCCAGGGATATTACATGACATCACATAACTAGCCAGGTCTAGGTTTTTATTTGATCCTTAGCATTTCTGTTTCAACATTCCACTCTCATTTTGTAACTAAGATGACTAAAGGGTAACTAGTTTGGGTCTACTACTTGTAGAGTAGAGTAACAATGTAAAATTGGTTAACCCTATTTTGAAACTTTAGGAGGTAGAGTGTAAGGTCTAAACCTGTGTAAACATAGCAAGAGTGGTGTAGTGAGCAGACATGTGTCCAGGGAGGGATTGCTGGTCCTCTGACTCACAGGATGTCATTCCAGAGATCAGATACACATCTTCTTATGCAGCCCATCTTGGGAGACAGAAATGTGGCAGATCTGGTGTTCTGGAGAGGATATGATACATTGGTTATTATTCCACTTTATTGCTGCTTCCCAAATAACCACAAGTTTAGCACCTTAAAATAATTTATCATTATGTCTTCCAGTTCTGTGGAATGACTCATCTCTGCTGGGCTGGTCTTCTCTGGGGCTTCTCATGCTATTGCAGTCAGATGACAGGTGGGGCTGGACTCTTCTGAGCCTTTTGACGGGACTGGACATCCAAGAGGGTTCACTCACGTGGCTGACAATTGCTGATTTTCTTTTTCCAGCTGCTTTAATGAAACGCTTTAAAAAAATTTTTTTTATTATTATTATTTTTTAAAATATATTTTATTGATTTTTTTACAGAGAGGAAGGGAGAGAGATAGAGAGTTAGAAACATTGATGAGAGAGAAACATCAATCAGCTGCCTCCTGCACATCTCCTACTGGGGATGTGCCCGCAACCAAGGCACATGCCCTTGACCGGAATCGAACCCGGGACCTTTCAGTCCGCAGGCTGACGCTCTATCCACTTGAGCCAAACCGGTTTCGGCAGCTTTTTTTTATTTTTAACAAATTCCTATTGACAGACATATAGGTAGTTTCCAGTCTGTTGCTATTACAGACCACATTTCAAGGTAGAAAATGTGAAATTCACTCTGGGATAAATTTCACATGTAGAAATTTATCCTACAAACATCCCTTTTTTTTTTTTTTATTGCTTAAAGTATTACAAAGGGTATTACATATGTGTCCATTTTATCCCCCCGCCCTAGACAGTCCCCTAGCTTCCCCTATCCCCCAGTGTCTTATGTCCATTGGTTATGCTTATATGCACAAACATCCCTTTTTTTCTGAGAAGTGGACTAGCCTGGGAGAAGCTGGCTTCATCAGCCATGATCTTTTACTATTTAATTAGCCTTACATCTTGTTTCAACAAAGCTGTTTCTTAAAGCTTCAAGTATAACTTAATGTGTGGTGGCTGGATTGGTCATAGATGTCTATAGCTCGCAAGTACCACTTCATGAATTGGTGGTTGCACCTTAGGGGAATTCCCTAAGTGAGTCACTCTGTGCTGACTCAGTTATTCATACTGTGAAATGGGGATTTATATGAAGGTAGAGAAATGGAAAAATTGCCTTTGCTGAGGCGTGCTTGGAGAACTTCTATTTTTGCTCCAAGAAAACCAAAGGAAAGTTCCCGCTGGGAATGGGGTGCCCTCGGTCTCCACCCCCTCTCCCCATTCTCATTTTCTCCCCTGTGTTAAAAAGTTTTCTGTGTCTGTGTCAGATGATCCATTGGCCCTGCACTCCCTTAAGTTGTCACTAATCTCCCTTCCCTCTGACCTTTAAGATTTTATTCTTTTCAAACAAAATAATGCCAGTGATTTGAGATTTTTCATCCTGGACTGTATTAGAAGGTATCTATATTACATGCTGAGCATTTTAAAATAGGAATTTACCAAAGTGATTAAAGTAAGGAAGAGGTCAGGTTGGAAATGTCGTTGTCCAGTCCTCAGGCACATTCTATAGGACTTTCAAAAGACAGTTCTTGCTTTCTACATGTTTTTAATTAGAATTACAAGGGTCAGTTGTCTTTGTTCTATTTTATTAGCCCCTCACTACCTCTCAAATGACTTTTATCCTGAGTAGCCTTGGCCTTGAGAAGCTCAAAGTACTCAGTTTGCCAAGATGTGGGCCATATTTAGTCTTTTTACATCTCTTCAAGGGAGGCAAGACCAGGAGGAGACCGTGACCTGTCCTGGTGATTGGAATATGGAAGCCTTGGGCACAGCTGGGTCTCCTTCAGGCTGGGTGCCAGGTCCTACCCCTTCGGGGAACACATGGCAGAGGTGGGGCATGAGGAAGTTGGAGGCCTATGATGACTATCCATCTGAGTCATCAAACTCAACCCAGTAGCTGTCCCCCTTTATCTTCCAATGTCCAACCCCTTCACCCTCTTTGAACAGACTTAAGCTCACCTCCCTGCAAGGTAGAGCCCTAAGGGGGACCCTGCCACTCTCTGCTACCACAGCTCTCTTCATTATCTGCTTTTCTGGGGCTCAGGCTAGCGGTGTGGAACCACACACACTCCCCGTTTCCCACCGTCCTCTCCTGGAATATTCTTTGCCATTCCTCCTCTCTTTCTCCTCATCTTTGCCTGGCTGAGGAGCTCACTTCCTCTATAGGCACCTTCCCCCTTGCCCCATGGCAGAGGCAGGTGCTCCTCCGAGATGCACATTGCACCTGGGCTTTCCAGATGTCAGTGACCTATTGACCAGTCCGCTCCCCCACTAGACTGGCAGCTTCTTGGGGACAGGTGGTCCAGGTGACTGTACTCCCTCAGCTCTGAGCACAGGACCTGTTACAGATCAGGCACTAGTTGTTCAGCTGAGACAAATTAAGCTCTGAGCCGATGAAAAAGAACTGGTACAGAGGAGGCTAACTGGAAAACCCAGTTCTGGAGTCTTGGGCCTCCTTCAGGTCTCTTTGTATCTTGCCACCTGTGAACCCACTGCCCATCGACACTTTCTGAATGTGCACTGACCTGAGTCTGGGCTTGGGGTGTGGGGGTGGGGGGCAGGAATGTGCACAAACACTTGCTGACTCAAGGCACTTCATTGAGGACACTGGATGAGCTCTGAGGAAACATTTGTGGGTGATGGAACCCCCTGGAATGAGATGGAATAAAGTTCTGGACTGCGTGAGGGCCAATGCTCCAGCCTCACTTCTCATGCAGAGCTGGTTAGAAGTGCAGTGTGTAGACCCCATCAGACCTCCTGAATCAGATCCTGCAATCTAGTAAGACACCCATGGGATTTGTGTGCACTCTGGGTTTGAGAGGCACTGGTCTTGCGGGTCAGAGAACAGTGCAGGCAGGGGCTGTAGTCGTTAGAGGAGCTACATAAGAGAAGGAACAGTTGAGCTGGGTCTCAGCGGAGGATAACACCCAGCCAGGGTGGATGAAAGGAGGAGGGTATTTGAGGCTAGGAAGATTTTGAGCCAGGAAAGGTCCAACTTTTCTTGCTAATGATATTTGTCTGAAAATACATTTTTTAGGTTCTTTTATGAGTAGACTTTTGGCAGAACAGTTGGATCATGCCTCTAAAGCAGTGGTTCTCAACCTTCTGGCCCTTTAAATACAGTTCCTCATGTTGTGACCCAACCATAAAATTATTTTCGTTGCTACTTCATAACTGTAATGTTGCTTCTGTTATGAATCGTAATGTAATTATCTGATATGCAGGATGGTCTTAGGCGACCCCTGTGAAAGGGTCGTTCGACCTCCAAAGGGGTCGCGACCCACAGGTTGAGAACCGCTGCTCTAAAGGCTCTGATTTGGTAACTAGGAAACCTTTGAGGAATATATTAGATCTGGTGGTTTTCACCACCGAAGAATGATCCAGGTGGACTCCCATAATAGACTCAGTTTTCTTTCTTAGAGATGGCAAACATAGTTGAGAGAATGCTGGAATGGGAGCCCAGAGTCTGAAATTTAGTTGTGAGTTTGCTTGTAATGAAGCTGTGGGCTCCCAACCAAGTCACTTCCCAAAATTATCATTCTGTTTGTTCATGATTTTGTGCATCAGGAACTGGGGCATGGCTTAGCTAGGTAGTTCTATTCCAGGCAGCATTGGTTGAGGTCACTCACTCATCTGGTGGCAGCCATGGGTGGGCTAGAAGGTCCAGTGAGGCTTTGTGTTCATACCTGGTACTTCTGTGCTCCTCCATGTGGCCTTCCACTCTCCACATGGCTGCTTGGGCTTCCTCACAGCATGGTGGTCTTAGATTCTAATGTGGCAGCTCACTTTCCTAGAAGGAGGATATAGAAGCTGCATGGTCTCTTAATACCTGGAACTGACACATTATCTCTGCATCCCGTTGGTCCAAGGGGAGAGGAGATAGTCTCCATCTCCATACAGCAGCATGCAGGAACAGGGAGGAAGGAACTGACTGCAGCTGTCTTTAGGGACTTTGTACCACAGGTTCTATGTTATCAGGATGTAGATTCCTCCTTTCTTTCTGCTCTTCCATCCTCAGCACTGGCTTTCCCCTTGTGGTCCAAGAAAGGAGAAAATGAGAGAGAGGGCAACATCCTCCCCCCTTAGAGAGAGTATATTTCATCGGCCAGGTGGCCATAGAGCCATGACTTGGTGGGGAATGCAGATGTTTAGCTGGGGACAACGTCCTGCTAGAAATCCGAGGTCTGTTCTCAGGAAGAAGGGGAGAATGAATGTTGGGAGGAACTGCCAGTTGTTCCATCTTCCCCAAAACCAAAACCAGGCCAAGCCTAGAGACTGAGGGAGGTGGACTCCCATAGTAAGCCTGCGAGGTGTGCCCGCCTGCACTGTGGTCCTCACGGCCTCTCTCTCTGTCCCAGTTCACCACAGGCACATGCGGCGACTCGGCAGTTCACAGCTGTGACCTGTGTGGCAAGGGCTTCCGCCTACAGCGTATGCTCAACCGGCACCTCAAGTGCCACAACCAGGTGAAGAGGCACCTGTGCACCTTCTGCGGCAAGGGCTTCAATGACACCTTTGACCTAAAGAGGCACGTCCGCACGCATACAGGTGAGGAAGGGTCATGTGCTTAATTTTAGTTTTGTTTTTCTGCCCAAGAGTTCCTGATGCTTTCCTCTCACCAAAGTACCAGGTTGGCAGATGGGACAATGTTGTATTTCTGGAAAGACCACAGGATGGGGCATTTGGGGCCAGCCCATCTGGGTTTACCTCCAGGCTGTGCCAACTTCCAGCTGTGTCATCTTGGGCCAGGCAAGCCTCCTTCCTCGCTTAGCCTGTTTTTGCCCCCTTTAAGATGGGGATAATGATACAAGTTTTAGCATAACTCAAGACAAATCACTGGCTGAAGACGTTCTGAGAATTATGATGCCTGATGCAATGCTGTGAGATATAGTTTGGCCCCTCAGTCCGGCCTGAATGCAGGGATGTGGTTCCTGTGGTCCCACTGGTGCTATTTTATGCACCTTTCTTGGGAAGTAAGCCTGTCTCCAAATAGCATCTTGTTCTTCCCAAGAACTGAAAAAGAGAAGGAAATGATCGCTCACTTAGAGCTGACTGAGCCTCCTACCTGAGGCTGGCAGGCAAGCGTCTTCCTCCCTTTGGGCCTTCCTCAGTTTCCCTTCTCATGAAGTGGGAGTCTAGGTCCTCCCCAGCTCATTACACAGAGAATCCTGGGGGTGCCCGCAGGCCTCTCTCTAAGCTCTTCTGATTGGTGACAGCCTCATTTATTTTATCTTAGAAACATCTGGCCTCCAAGCTTCTCCTTTAGGTCCATGGTCCACACCTTTGCCAGAGTGACCCCTTGAGGAGAATTCTGAGGATGCGACTTCCCTGCTAAAAAAGTCTCCAACTCTGGGCAGGGGGAAATCCAAACTCCTCATCTTGAGGGGCTTCATGTAAGGCCCCTCAGAATCTGGGACCCATCTTCAAATCCCCATCCTATCTCAGCCCGTCCCAATTCCATCCCATCCCAGCCCATTCAACCTCATCCTGGTTACTACCCACTCTCCCTACAGCCTCATAGAACTTACTGTATATAGTGTCTCTGACCCCTGAAGCCCTTTCAGAGTTTAGGATTTCCTCTGGCATTTTAGTGGGAATGGGAAAATGTCCACTCCTCCCTCCAGATGGCGTTTCCAGTCCCTCAACACCCCGGAGGACCTTCTCAGATCCTCTAATTCAGACTTCTTTTATGGCCCTTATGCTTCTGTGTTCTTAGAGTACTGGCCATAAGCCTCCTGCCTGGCCTGGGGAGAATGTCCTCCACTGTAGTGGGTGAGCTGATGAACTAAAAGGTTTTTTTCCTTTTTAAAAACTATTTCTCAAGGGATTTTTTTTTTTTTTTTTTTTTTTTTTTTTTAGTGTAACATACATCCAAAAGAGTGCATAATTCAGCAAATTTAAAAATTTTTACAAAGTGAACACACCCAGACCAAGAAACAGTATTTCCAGAGCCTGGAAGTTCCTGCCCACTCCTTCGTGCCCCCTTCAAATCATTACCTCCTAAGCCCGGGGGTAGCAGGGGGAGGTCCAGGCTGCAGCTCCAGAGAACATGCTTGTGCATAACTGGGGCCCACTGCTCTTCTCCAGCTGCCCTTTCAATCTTTTTTTTTTTATTTTTTATTTTTTTTATTGATTTCTTGCGGAGAAGAAGGGAGAGGGATAGAGAGCTAGAAACATCGATGAGAGAGAAACACCGATCAGCTGCCTCCTGCACACTCCCCACTGGGGATGTGCCCGCAACCAAGGTACATGCCCTTGACCGGAATCGAACCCGGGACCCTTGAGTCCACAGGCCGACGCTCTATCCACTGAGCCAAACCGGTTAGGGCTGCCCTTTCAATCTTGAGCAACACAACAACAAAAAGATAAATAAACCACTATCTCCTTTCTCCCAAGAGGCACCGATATTGTGACTTCCAATAGCATAACTTGCTGTTGCCTGGTTTTAAACATGATAGAAATGGAATCCTATAGTGTCTGAGTACAAGGCTTCTGTTTGAATCCCTAGCACCAGTGAATCAGTAAAAGGTTGACCTCTGTGTGGCCAGGCTGCTACCTTAGGTTGAGGCAGAGAGAATGCTTAGGGAGTATCACGGTGGAGGGGGGTCCCAAGGCTATCAATGAACCCATCAAGTAGCTGCAAATATAGGCTCATAGACAACTGACCCAAGGGCTGGAGAAACTGGGGACAGCTCACGCAGTCACTTGTCATTAATTGTCCTGGAGAGTTCTCAGCTTTTCATCTCTGTCTGAGGATGTCCTTGAGAACATGGCCTGTTTCTTCTTCTCCTGGTAGACTCTGTGGTCACTTTCTCGATCCTGTCCTTTAAGACAAAGGGAGCATTGCTGGCTGTTCGGTACCTTCACTTGGAGTAAATAGCTGATGGAGCTGTTTACTCATCAGTGCCGTCAACGGAGAATCAACCAGGAAATATTAGGGACTGACTGCTTCTCAGGCAAGAGTTTACAAGTTGAGTCACTGGCATAGTAGTTAAGAACTCATATCTGAGTTAGCTGACTATGCAAGCAGTTTATTTGGGAGATGGTCCCAGGAGACACAGTGAAGAGAAGACAGCCAATTAAAGTGACTACATAAGCAGGTTACCACTGTGGGCAACTGGCACTCAATCCCATTGGGGTCCCCTGAAGAAATATATAGAATGCATCCCAGAATTGATCTAGGGGTGAGGAAGCTAGGTATTGGTCTATCAACTCCCATCCCTCCTTGCTTGGGGGACCAAACTCCTGAATTCTACAGGAAAGACTCACACTGATAGGCAAAGGATACACAAGAATATTTTTAATGTTAATTTCATTTTGAAATGGTAATACCTGAATATATTAAGTTAGACAAAAATATATCATTAAAATTAATTTGACCTTTTCTAAACTTATTTTAATGAGGCTACTAGACATTTTAAAATTGCAAAGTGGCTTGCATTCTAATTTAGATAACTGAAATCTACAGATAATCATTTTTTAAAATTTTAATCATAATTTTGACTCTTAAAGTGGTAAACAAATAAAATTGTGAGAATATCTTCAACTTGTTTTCCCTGCCCTGGTCTATTTTCGGATGGAGATGTACCTTCAAGTGATAGTAGACTAGAAAGAGGAACCAGGAGCTTACTGACCAGTTAGCGGGGGCTGCTGCTGTGCCTGGAGCTGGAGGAATAGGCTTGCCTCCTGGTGTGAGAGACCTGCCCCGCCATCTCTTGAGCTCTGTGCAAAACAGATACTCAGTAAAAAGAGCAAAAATGTGGGATTTTCAGACTTTTTTTTTTTTTAGTTCATTGAACAACCTTCCTATTTCCAAAAGATATCACCAGAATTCTGTGAATTCCGTCTTGCCTTTGATTGAGACGTGAATGTTGGATTTTTACTATTGACTATTAAATGAATGTTGGATTTAGACCAGAAGCAAAGATATGAACACTGTTAACACAAATACAGTAGACAGTTGAGTGAAGGATATGCTTGCTCATAAGTGTGATTAGCCAGGCCACAACTGATGAAAAGACTTCTTGGGGATCCCAGGACCCTCTGAGATTGTGGCGACAATATTGATGAGGTTGGTGAAGACAGTGGGATAGAGAATCAGGATTAATCCCACCCCACTCCCACCTCCTCCTGTGCCCTGCAACTACTGAGGGGACAGGGCATTTAAGGAAGGACTCAAAACCCATGGAAACATCTTGGAAACGATCCAGGGAAACCAGAGCCTGAAAATGTCTTACCTTAATATTTAAGCAGATGAAAGAAAAGATTAAGATGTCTTTTTTGGATATAACTTCTCCAAGAGGAGAGTAAATCAGGGGAGTGTGAGATGGAGAGCTGGGATGCTAGCCAAATGACATCTGATTCAAGATTGGGAGAGAGAATCTACAGCAGAAAAAACTCCATAACAGTTTGTGAAAATATTTCAGGAAACAAATAGCTATTTTCAATCCAAATTGTCTTAGGTTGGGTTCCCTAGAAGCAGATCCTAAGATGGCAATTCTTATAAAATCAGTTGTTGAGGGAGAATGCCCAGAAGAAACCTATAAGGGAGGAGAGAGTGGGACAGGGTAGAGGATGGAGCTGAGTGCCCTGAGCTAGAGTCCAGCCCAAGCCCGATCCCATTGGGGTTCTGGAGTGTGGATGGCACCACAGCCTTGTCCTGTCTACAGGCAAGCGGGGGACATTTCCACTCAATGCAGGCCGCGCATTGGCTGAGGGCTGCCTCTTCCCTGGGCAGGGAGGTCAATTACTCAGTGTCCATTCCTTGGAGAAGGAGGCAGCCAGGCACTGTTAGCTCATCACACATGACAGCTGGGGGACGATGCGCTGGCCCTGAATGTGGGTCTGGACTGGGGACCAACAGCATCCAGTACACATAAGAGAGGAACTTGCTCTATTTAAGTCGACAGGATTGCTGAGGCTATCATGGGAAATTATGGCTGTTGATCCATCTTAGGTCAAAATGGTGCGGGGGCAGGGGTGGCATGAGCTTTACAAAAACCAATGTAAATTCAGTTAACAGCCAATGAAAAACATAGTGGGCCTGTTTATAGAGAATACATGTTTGGATTTAAGTTGAACCAGCTGGGATGCATTCTAAGAATGCATTGAGGGGATGGTTTGCTTTGGGGGGGGGGGGGGGGGCGGAATTTAAGTAGAAAAATAACACTACCAACACTTGCTTGTGCCAGACTCTGCATTCTGTCTACAGCCTCGTTACTCACAGTGTCCATAGTCCGTGCCCTGGCAGCACCTGGGAGCATGTTAGAATCACATTTATTGAGGGCCACATGTCAGGCATGGTCTGGGCATTGTTTACGGCTATGATCAGATATGCCAGGCTCATCAGACAAGTACAGTTTTACAGAAAGTGTTTTATTTTTCTCCTTTGTAAAATGAATACTTATTCTGTAAAAAAAAAACAACGCTAGCCAGTACAAAAGCTATAGAGAAGAAAGTGTAAGCCACTATACACAGTTGAAAAGGGCACACACATCTGTGGGATCCCCAGCTTAGTCTTTGGGGAGCAGGGTGCCAGGGTAAATAAC